AAAGAAATGCCTATGCCTCAACCACTGACAAAGATACTTAGTATCTATAAATGGATAAAACAGGACTGTCAAATCCTGCCAAGACAGGGTAAGATAGTTTTGAAAAGTTTCCTGCCTTTGAAAGTGATCTGTCAATCACATTAGGCCTTAGCTAAAGTTGGTTGCTTCAACATTGCAAATGAGACTTTGGGTGATTGCCCAGATAGCCAGTTGTCTCTATTGTTTGTTGCACATTTTGGAAGTTTCTCGATTGCACTTCCTGTTCACTCAAGTAATAGTATTTCCCTTCTCAGATCTTTGATGGAGTTAAAGATTAGATAATTGTAGTTACCTTCTTCATGATTTAGCCAAGCTTAATTTCAATGCAATAGTTAGACTCCTTAAAATAGAATGTTTATTAAAACGTTTGTTATGCTTTCCTTGCTTAATATTGTTTGTTGTTTGTAATTTTATATTTGGTATCTGTTCCTATTGTATATAGTTGTATTGCGTTTGGATCAATCTTGTTTAGACAAAAGGGGGAGATGATGGGGAAACTCTGTCAACCAATCACATCTAGTTAAGGCGTGGCTACCTGGGGCCCAGAAAGAAAAACTGGGAGGACCCAGGTGCACGCTCTCTCTCTGCGCGATTCCAGCCAGACAGAGGAAGTTGGACTCCCCATTCTTGTGGGGTGAGTTTCCCATTACAACCATTAAAATATAATTGTTATTCTTAAGCTGGCCTGGTTATTTACCATATTGAGCTAACTCGCTACATTAGTACATCTCTAAATAGAAGAGACTTGGCCAGGAGTTGGAGGCCAGGATGGAAGGGACACCTGTGGTGGTAGGCATGGGGCGAGTGTCTGCATTGTACTAGTTTTATGAGGGAGATGATATGTCAGGAATATCAGGAGCTCTGTAGGGAAGAAGACCATTAGAAGCTAACAGTAGGATGAACTTTTCTGCCTTCCTTCAGCTAGTGATGCTAAAATCATAACGTCTGTAGACTATAGTCTGAGAGGACACTGGAGTTCTGGTCCCTTGGTTGGGGAGGAGAGGTGGTCATACTATATCAGAGCCCCAAACTAAAGGACTCATTGGTAGCTAAGAAGTCAGCATATGGTTTGGGGGAGGACACACACCTTCAGTCTATAACACCAATTCAACGCTACAGAAGGACACCCCAATTTCCAAGTATACTGAGGATGACTTTGGTGTGAGAGGTGTTATCAACTTGTCCTTCCTGGGCAACTGGTTTTCCTGAGAACACATGGGATAGATTTTATCCGCTTAAGGGTGAGACACCATTCTGCCACTTTGCAGTCCTAAAGCACACCACCTGTACTGCACACCACTGTCTGGTAACTGCTTCCTCAGGAAGAAAACTGCTTTCTACCTTTATCCAGAAACTTTCTTTCTGGGGACATGGGGACTTGGTTTTCTTTCTATTGATGCTTCCTTGATACTACAAGGCTCCCTCCCTACAAACACATCATTGTTGCCCCAAAACTGTTCCTCACTGATCTGAAACAGGGACCAGATGCCACAGAAGGCTTTATTCTAAGACTTCAGGACTGCTTGCTTTTTCCATGCCAACTAAGTTTCTTACTAGGAGCCCACCAGATAAGATCACTCAGGCACAGTCTATAGCCAATTGAAAGGATTTATTCCAGCTGGCTGGGACTATACTCATTTGGGGGCCCAAGTATAGCTCTGAGTATTTAGAGCAAGGGGCTTTTAACAGCAAAAACCACATTATGTTATCTTGCTCATCAACTGAATGGGAAAGTTTTGTTCAAGCAAGTGATTCAACAGAAGCTAAGGTAAGCAACTAGTTGGAGGAAGAAGTTTGCACAGACTGTTTAACAGAGGCCAAGATAAATCAGCTGAGGCATCTTGACCTTGGGTTCCTAGAACAGAGCTGGGTACCTTTCCATGGGATTTCCCATAAAGGAGGCAAAATTCTAGTCAAAAATAAAATGGCCTCAGTAAGGATGCAAGATGGAAGAACCTCTACACTGTCTCGCCCAGTTACAAATTGGTTGCCGTTGTTGCTGGGAAGAAGTAGATCCATCAGGGAAGGAGGTGTTGAAACCAGCATTCTGGTAGGAGCACACAATTAGGGGACAGCAAAACTCAGGCTTAAATGAGTGGAAACATCAATGAAAGTATTTCTGTTGTTCCTTTTCTCTATTCATGACCCACCCCACCCACCCCCTTATACACACATAACACACACACACACACACACACACACACACACACACACACACACCAGGATCTACAATCTTTCTATGAGAAAAAAGTATGCCATGTTTGTTTTCCTGAGCCTAGGATAGCTTGCTTATGACCATAATTTCCGAGTACATCCAATTTCTTCCAAATGTCATGATTGCAGTTTTCTTTCTGGTTGCAGCAGATTCCATTTGTTTTTACTTAAGGAAGGGTGTCTTACAGTTTACTGTCCTTCACAGACGGAAGCCAAGACAGCAATTTAAGGAAGAAATCAGGAGTCAGGAACTGAAGCAGAAACGATGGGGAAAACAGTGCTCACCTAAGCTTGCTCACCTGGGAAGAAGGAGCCTCTTTTAAGCAATTGCCACCATCAGATTGGCATGTGGATTTTCTGGATTAATACTGATGTGAAAGAGGACCAGCACAAAGTGGGCAGTGCCGTCCCTGGGGAGACGGTCCTGGGTTATCTAAGAAGACAAGCTGAGTAGTATCCCTTGGGAACTAAGCATAGGTGAGCACTGTTTTCCCCATTGTTTCTGCTCCAGCCCCAGCTGCTTCAGGTCAGTTGCTAAGGCCATTGCCAATGACACGTGCACAGAGACTCTCTTCTTCTAGTCCAGTGTCAGATCCTCCCAGAACTGCAAGTGGGCACTGTGCACACACATGGCCGACCAGGAGCTGGATCTACCCACCCACAAGACAGAAGCCTCAAAGTATATGGGGTGCAGGACATTAAAGACACAGGAAATAGGGCCGAGACGGACACTGATCAATGGGAGTCCAGACGCAGAGTAGATGAGTGTGGTGATATTTTGCTCGTGCTCTAACAAATAAGGCTTGCCTGAGGATCAGAGTGTGGAGCAAACCACTATTTAGCCATAGAGGCCCAGAAGTGGTTCCACACACCTTTAATCCCAGCACTCGGGAGGCAGAGGGAGACCGATCTCTATGAGTTGAAGGCCACCCTGGACTACACGAAATTGATCCAGTCTCCAAGACATAGAACCAGGTAGCGGTGGCTCACACCTTTAATTCTAGTACTTGGTGATCACAGGTCTCTAACCCCAGCAGCACTAGGGAGATGGAGACAGGAAGGGATATGGCTGGGCTGAGAGGGTAATTCAAGGTGGGAGGAGACAGGAGGGCATGGCATTCAGCCTGAGGACTTAAAGAGACAGGATACCCCATTCTGTCTGAGGATTTTGTATAGGTAAGCACTAGTGGCTGGCGGCTCTGTTTCTCTCATCTTTCAGATTTCACCCCCTAATGCCTGACTCTGGGATTTTAGTATTAAGACCAATTGGAAATTGCAATATATCTGGTGCCCATCCTCCTGGAGGGAGAAACTGTCAGTAGACCCTAGGAGACACCCAGAGTTGAAGAGATGGTTGTGAGAATCTGGGCAGCTGCAGCCTTTGAGACTGAGTTGGGACAGCTGCCGAGGGACAGAGCACTGCCCCTCCCAGAGGGCCCAGCTAGAGACCTGCAAGCCCAGCACATGAGAAAACTACTGGAGACCAGGAATGGCTCACCCCACACACAGTCCTCACAAGATCACAGGTAAATGCCCAACCCGATCGAGCCAAGAGCCTGTGACTGTGCCTGTCCACCTGCATACAAAACCTCATCATTCCGGAGGCAGTAGGCAGGGCTCTCGGAGAGACCTGACCCCCACCCAACACATACCAGGGATAGACAGAAGGACTGGGAGCATCCAAGACAGAATGAAGAAAGAAAACAATCAATCAAGAAACAGCATCAGATGAGAAAGAAATAAAATTGCCTTTAACACACATACGTATACATACATACATATACAAACACACACACACACACCCACACCCACCCACACACACACACACACACACACATATACACACACACAGTCACAAGAACTAATGAGTGAGTTTAGCAAGATTCTCGCATGCAGGCTGTTTGTACACAGCTAGCCACTACTTAACAAGCACAATCATTTGTCTCGATGTTACTCTACACTAATCTGAAAGAAGGCCTGGGAGCCTCAAATATCCTGCTCTGGTGTTTCTTTCTTGTCCTCTCAAACTAAATCAGTTTTTCCCTTCTGTATGAAAACGATCAACCCAGTGGTCATGAAAGAGAGTCTGCAGACCGAGATTTGGCGAGTGTAAGACCCATATTAGAAAACGGTCAAGTAGTATCCGTGGAGAAATTTAATACGTGACTACATAAATGTTTAATTCAGGAAATCTACCTCTTCTAATATACCTTAAGGAAGTAAGCTTTCATGAACTAAATTATTTATTGTATAGGAAAAAGTGGATAAGCCTAAACGTTTACTATCTGTATATAGAGGATGTTTTTAACATAAAATTTTCCTGAAAAGTGTGAGGAAATGGAAAAGCTAGTATTCCATAAGAGAAATATTCCAGGAAAAATATTAAAGGATAAACCTAAAAATGTCTTTATTGCCTTTATATACTTAGTTCTATAGGACACACACACACCTTTTTTTTTTAATAGTACTTTGGGATTGAACTCAGGGACTCTGGCATGCTAGCAAAGCTCTTTATCATATTCTAACAAAAAAATCTTACTTCAAAGATAACCATATTATGTGCTGAATAAGTAACTGACTTTAAATAATGTAACTTTCTTTCCATTTACTAAAATATCTTTCCCTGCTTTGGACTGTGAGAAATTTTAAATTTCAGAACTTTCCTTCGAACCGAAGTACACAGATGAGAAAACTGGAGGCTTCTGCCATAGCCAAAAGTAATGTCAGACCAAAACCTAACCAAAACATCTAAACCACAATACGTTAGTTTTATTTTGTTCAGCAACAAACATTTAAGCACCCTTTCCTTAAGCAAAAGGGAAACAAGCCAAGCATGGGACTGATAAAGGGGAAATCACATCAAAACATTGAAATTTGAAGGCAAGGTAACAATTACCAAAAACACAAAATGCCTTTGTCCTGTCTTTTAGGGGGAGAAAGTTTAGGTGTGATGAATCCTTCCTCTTCCTCGTTTGACAACAGCCACAAACTGGAAGTGCCGAATATTTCTCATCACCAGGGAGAGCTGGTCAAGGAAGCTATTGATGGAAATCTGGAAGAGACTGGTGTCGTCAGTTGTCCACCTACTAAATGTGAGAGAAAGAAACACCATCAGGGAAATGAGGGATCTGTTCAGGTCCCTCACACCATACCTTCCCACTTATATCTAACCCACCAGTGTCTCCCCATTAGGACACCCCTAGAGCGCACACTGCCTCCCAACCCCGAAGCCACCCCTACTCCGGGCTTTGGGAAAACTGACACAACCAAAGTACTGTCATTCACGGTGTACTCCTGTGGAACCATTAGTAGCTGGCGCTGGGCATTGGCAACCAGGGACCTGCGGGCCATGTCTGCCTCTACAGCAGACCTGAAAGGCACTCTTACAGAGCTAGAAGGGGGCTATGGTTAAGGTATCATCCACTATTAGGTTTCCTATTGCTATGCGGCCTGGTATACTTCTGAGGCCTGTCTGACACTGCTCCCATGTGCAACTCAAGACCAAGACTGCCCCAGAATCTTCTTTCTGACGATGCCAAACAAGTGTCATCCACCTCCCGCCTCCCCAACGGTTCAGGTTTTCTTCTACATTATGAAGTCTTCTCGGGCTTAGGCAACTCCCTGTCCTGCCAGCATGACGTTTCTTCTTGGACTAACAGTCCAGAGTGTACCACTCTGTCTCTTCCTTCCCCTGCTGTCAACCTTCCTGCTCACCCACCCGAAAGACTTCGTTTCACGTTTCATCCTTCCTGTCTTCCCATTGCCCCTGCCAAGGGTCTCCCAGGAAAGGATACAACTCCAGGAGTCGACTTGCAGTTGTTGCAACATCTCCACTGGGTCCAGGGAGAAGTGGTGGCAGCTCGTCTTGGGGAACGACAGCTGCCTCTTCGGCTGCCACACCTAACCCTAAAGGGCTCCCTGGGCGGGACCTGCCTGGAACAGACTGGCTACTGGCATCTTGTGGGCCACTCTCACGAGGGACCTCGTCTTGGTCACCCTCTGCCGCCGAACTCTGAGAGCTAGCCTGGATATCGGAAGCTCGAGGTCTCTGCTGCCCATCCTCGTCTTCTTCAACCCCTGTCCTACCACCTGTGTCCTCGCCAGGATCCTGCATGGCGATTCTGACTTTCCACTCAGCTCCCCTGGCTCAATCGACGGCACCACTCAGGCTCAGCTACCGAGATGAGGTGACGGTTATGAGCCCCACTGAGCACACCACGTGAGGCCCACTGTGCTTGCACAATCGAGTTATCGCGAGATGAGCTACTGCCTGGCTCTCGGTGGGTGTGTCTGGGGGCGGGACAACAACAACTCGGCTATAAGCAAGTTCTCGCGAGGGTTGGCTCCTGCTGAACTACTTCCTGTCTTTTGGTAGATGTGTGTGGGAGGAGATGGGGGAACACACCAATAGCTCCTGCTCCCTACAAGCAAGTTCTCACTAGGGCTAGGGTTGGCTCCTGCTGAGCTACTTCCTGTCTTTTGGTAGATGTGTGGGAGGCAGGGGAAGGTGGGGGAGAGATGGGGGGGGAACACGCCAATAGCTCCTGATCCCTGCAAGCAAGTTCTCCTTAGGGTTGGCTCCTGCTGAGCTACTTCCTATCTTTTGGTAGATGGGGGGGGGGTATGGACACCAATAGCTCCTGCTCCCTGCAAGCAAGTTGTTGCTAGGCGTGGCTCCTGCTGAGATACTGCCTGGCTCTTGGTGGGTGTGTCTGCTCCCGCCCTCCCCCCACACACAGGCAGAATTCCTTCCTAACTAGGCTCTTCCTCTAGGTGGCTTGTACTGATGAAACCTTTCAGTGTAGATTCTTCTCCATCCTCGAGTGTCACTGCTTTCTTGACACACAGAAAGCCCGAGGCTTCATGAAGCTCTCTGTGGCACAGGTAGTGCATGGTGCTGCAAGTTGGCCTCAGCAAGCAGGTCCAGTCTGTGTCTAGCATGCCCGTAGTTGTTGAAACCCTGAAAGACGTCTCTCCTGAGCCAAACTGTTCCTCCTGAATCCAGAATACCCTTGTACACAATGTATCCCTAATCCCTCACCAGAGGGGCAACCCTTAATGACACTGATAAGTGTGACTGAAAGACATTAGTGCTGGCTGAGATCAGAGACAGATCTTCACTGCATCCCTGTAATCATGTTCCTAAAGCTGGACCCTGTGTTGGGGATGGCATGGCATGGGCTAAGAGGCATGTACCCCTTTCCCATAATTGGGTGTCAAGAAGCAGTCAGTAGGTTAGTCACATATGTGATGTCACTCTGGATAACATCACTGGGCTCTTGATCCAGGGGACTTACTTGAAAGAACTACCATCCAGGACAGTGGCCTCTGGTTACATTTCAGTACAAAGGTACCCAAAGCAGAAAAGGATTAGGAAGACGTGGCCCGCAAATCACAATTATTTTTAAGAAACTATGATGTCCTGAAGGACAGGGCAATATGGAGAAAGGTAGAACTGGTTTCTATCAGCTTATTTCCTGCTGTGTGATAGCACTCAGAGTGTGCATTTCCCTGTGAAAGGACCTGAGCACATGGGCTTATGCACTCTGGGATGAATGCCAAAGACACCTTGGTGGTCCAGGCAGCCCTGGAATTCAGGTTCCCAAGAAGCAAGACCCTCATGTGACAAGACCAACCTGGGGTTCACAAACACATCAAACCTTTGACCACTATGCGGATGTTCTTCCAATATCCTTTGCCAGATCTATGTGGACATCCTGAATAATGGTCTGGTCCACTGACTGAGTAAGAACAAGATGAATGCTACAGGACCTCAGCCAGAGGTCTAGGAAGCAGATTGCTTCATTTTTATTGGATTCCGTCCAGTCAGGTGAGACTATGGGAGGTTTGGTTGGTCTAATCAAAACAGCATAGAGGAATCCAGATGAACATCAGGCAAAGGCTTCTACCGATTTCAATGAAATCAGTATTTTAATACAAGGAAAAAATAAAAGTATGACAAGTTCAGCAATTACATCATAATTGTTTTTGCCTCTATTCCAGTACATGTTTGTGAATAGGTTTTTTGTTGTTGTTGTTGTTTTTAGAATCTCATGCCTTAGATACAAATAGTTTATATCTTTAATGGTGGTAATGATGGGCTTGATAATGAACACATTATCTATTTATGTTGTGCACTTGGTATAAAAGAGCAAGCAAGCCAGGTGTGGTAGCTCATGTGTTCAATCCCAGCACTTGGGTGACAGAGGCAGGAAGATTATGATGCCAGACTGGTCTACACTGCAAGTTCTATAAGACAGCCAATGCCACATGGTAAGAACCTGTCTAAAAAATCTGGGCCCAGATCCAGCACTTCGAGTTGGTCCACCCCAATAACTACTTCATCTTCTCCATCTACAAGCTACTGGAGCATGTGGAGGAGCCAATGCTGCAGAACCAGACCCAGGCCCATGTCACCACCATCGTGGATGAAAACCTGAAGCAAGGCTGAGATCAAAGTCAGCACCTGCTGCCATGGAGCAGCTCTGAGGAGCCTGAGAGATCCATGGAGTTTCTGAGGGGATATGAGGTGGTTGGTGGTGGAGGAGTCTGCAAAGGCCACAGTGTCCCCAGGGGGGAAAAAACAGAGAAAGGCAGGTCCCATGGGAAGATGCTTTTTTAAAGTGAATTCATGAAATTGGAAGAAAAGATGGCAGAACAGAGCTACAGGCACAGAGGAGAATGGTGAAACTATAGACTCAGTGACTCAGTGGCCCATGCTGTAATTAGAAACCACATCAAAGTCCATGATCTGTGCTGCTGCTGACTATAAAGGTTAAGGAAGCTTCTTTTGCAGTGGTATCGATGACAGCAGTCTCACAGTTCAGAATGAATGACATAGAAGACTTCTATGACAACCTCTCCCTGCCCCACAAAGAAAAGAAATAGTCTAGATAGGAACTTTAAAACTGTGATAAGGATGCTGAAGTGTAGCTCTTCATAGTTGATGGTGTCTGGCAGGAGTAGGATAGAGGAAGAAGTTGGGTTTTTTTTTTCCTCTTCTTTATTTTATTTCTTTTTTAAAGAAAACAAACTTTTTTTCATTTTACATAACAAACCCAGTTCCCACTCCCTCCCCTCCTCCTATTCCTCCACCTTCTCCCCAACCCACCCCCCATCCACTCCTCAGAGAGGGGTAAGGCACACTGCTTTGGGAGGTCCCTCCCTACTATATCTAGGCTGAGCAAGTTATCCATCCAAAGAGAATGGGTTCCCAAAAAGCCAATACTGAAACAGTTTACCTGAGCTAATGGGAGCTCACCAACTCCAGTCAGACAGGGAACGAACCAGCATAGGACAAAACTAGACCCTTTGAATGTGGTTAACAGCTGTATGGCTGGGCAGACTGTGGGGCCACTGGCAGTGGCACTGGGATTTATCCCCACTGCTTGTACCGGAGTCGGTTATTTTTAAGAGACTGGCCACTGGGAATTTGTCCATGCTCCAGAGAGTATATGGGTAACACAGCTTGGACGTTGTATTTCTTTTTCTTTTTTTTTTCCCCTTCGTTTGTTTTGGGGGAGGTCACAAGAGTGGAGGTGGACCTGAGAGGACTGGGAGGTAAATGTGGTTGGGGTGCATTATTGAAATTTACAAATAATTAATTTAAAAATGAAGTTAAGAAAAAGAGGGAAAAAAGAATTTCAAGGCAATGATGGGTTCTAGTCAGGTTTACAGACTAGATAGCAAAAGAAGAAGAAAATTTTATGAATTAACGTAATTCTTGAAAACTCACAGGGAAGTGACTCAATGGCGAAGCTGAAATTTCTCCCCCTGAAATCTATTCTCATATACCATACTTGTCAGTATGTGACTGAGAAGCAGCCCGCCAGCCTGATATATGTACCATGGTGCTGTTTGCAGTTGTACAGCACACAGAGACCAGCTCCAGACAGTGAAATGTATTTGTCGTATCCATGGCAACATCTTTGAGGAGCTGGTGCCCACTTGCCACTACTCTTCCCTCTGCTAGCAAGCAAAATAGCCCACCAAGAACCTATTCTTTACTCACATAATCAGTACAATGTCATACACTGTGGATTCTTTCTGGACTGTACCTTGGAGGGGTGATCCTGAGGGACCAGATACTGGAAGGCCATCTCTGATTCCGTGAGTGAAGGGAAAGGTAACATGAAGACTCTAGTAAAGGATGCTTAAGGCACCATGAACACTGATTTTATAACTCAAATTTCTGTATCACCCTGAGTTCTCTGTCCACCACCTCCACCACAACCACCTCCTCCACTCCCTGCCCAGGCTACCCTCGGACCTCTGTTCCAAATTTGGAACCACTCACCTCCAATAGACCAAGTCCCCAGCTGTCTCCTTTCTCATTATTTCCCTGAATATACTCCGCTATGCTATCAATTACACACATTGTGTAATTGATACATTACAAAGCCACACATTACACAAAACATCCCCAACCTACTTGGCTAGACTGAATAGGATACATAGGGAAAAATCTGCTTCCTAGTGCTCTGGCTGTGTGCCCAAGGCACCGATACAGTCAGATGGTTTGGTCTCAAACCATCATCATCATCCAGTATGTCCAGACAGGCCTGACAAAGGATGCTCTCCGTATCCTAGTGCCCTGGATCCTCCAGAGTCTGTCAAGACATCTATACTAAGGCCACGGGTATGAGGCATCTATGAGTCAGGTAGGAGTACATCGCCTGCGGCTCCTACCTCTCCATCACCAACAGGGCCACCAATGACTCTGTGGCTCCAGAGTATCCTCATCCTTCATCCCCAACTGCAACAGCATCTTGGTCTTCAGCATGCATGGTTGCTCACCCTCTTTCTACACCCAAGAGGAATCCACAGTCCCTTACCACCTGAATGCATCCAAGCAGGAAACACAACTGGGCAGACACCACCTCCCCCCACAGAAAACAAAAAACAAATAACAACAACAACAACAAAAACGGAAACACAAGAGCAGCTCTACCCCTGAAAGCACTCATGGCTTCGCTGAGAGTATAAATAACATCTCTTCCACGTGACAAAGGGTGAGCTTGTATGCTGGGCTCCAAACAGGTTGCTGCTGTGACCAGTGGTTTCTATAAGCCCATCCTGCTTGTGAAAGTTATCGAACTTATTCTTTCAGTCACATTAATCAGTATCACTACGCCATGCCCAGCTTTAGAGCACTGAATTGTGTATGAGCGTATTGTGCGTCCAGGCAGAACCATTTGGGCGGGGCAGTTGTGCGGAACCATCATAGCAGGCTCCTAAGTTGTCAGGGTGTTGAGGACACTGGTCAGTCAGTTTGAGCAGGTTCTGTGAATACCCAGGCAGCACCACTCACCCACTCCTGTTGCCGAGCTGAGCTTCCCGAAGACTCAGCCTTGTTGGGATCAGTGCCACTCATGGGGTGGGGCAGCTTGGAAGAAACCTTTATTGGAGGGCCCCATTAGTACAAGTCCCCGGGGAAGGTACCATGTGAGAGAGCTGCACTTTTTGAGATCTCAGAGACGCCCCTCCCCCACCCGCCATGTCCCCATGCCCCCTCCCCCGCCTTAACAGAATGCAGGAACCAATCCTCGCGAGATCTTGTTTGCACATGCGCAGTTGGCTTCACGTGTTGTTCCCTGTAGAAGCCCGCTGGACTTGGCACAAGAACTTCCTTTTCTCGGCCGAGTGAGAGCGGTAGGGGTGTGTTAGTGGTACGGGTTGGGGTGCTGAGGGGAAAGCCAGAATAGTCATGCAGGACCCTAATGAGGGCCTAGATGGGAGAGCAGGGGCTGAAGAAGGCGAGGATGGGCAGCAGAGTCCTCAAACTCCCGAAGCCCAGCCTAGCTCTCAAAGTTCGGCGACCGAAGGTGACTGTGGCACCTTCCCTCAGAGTGGACCACAAGATTCCAGTAGCCAGGCTGCTCCTGGTAGCCAGGCTGCTCCAGGCAGTCCCAGCCCAGGGAACCCTGTAGGGTCAGGTGTAGCTGCTGAAGAGGCAGCTGTCGTTCCCCACAGTGAGCAGCCACCCCTTCTCCCTGGACCCAGCGGAGATACTGCATCAACAACTGGAAATCAACTCCTGGAGTTGTATCCTTCCCTAAGAGACCCTTGCCAGGGGCTACTAGATCATAGGGAGGCTAAAACTACCATGGAAGTCCTTGGGGACACGGTGCACAGCTGACTAGGGAAAGGCCAGACGGATGTGGTGTGGGTAGTCCAGTGCGCCAGCTGACATCCTGACAGGACAAGGAGACTCCTTGCCTTAGTGGACTGAAGGGTGTAGAAAAAGACCCGAATCACTGGGGAGTGGGGAGGTGACTGGACTCTGGTGGCGAGAGGGCTCATTGCCAGGCAGGCCTAGGAAGTGTATCTAGGCAAAGGGAAACTAAGTGGTGGATGGTGCCTTAACCTTATCTCCTCCCAGCTCTGTAACAGTGCCTTTCAGGTCTGCAGTGGAGGCAGACATGGCCCGCAGGTCCCTGGTCTCCACTGCCCGTCGCCAGCAAGTGATGGTTCGGCAGGAGTTCACAGTGAATGCTACTGTCTTGTCTGTGTCAGTATTCCAAAAGCCTGGAGTAGGGGTGGCCTCAGGGTTGGGAGGGAGTGTGTACTCTAGGGGGGTCCTAATGGAGACACTGGTAGATTTAATGTGAGCGGGAAGACGTGGTATGGTGGACCTGAACAGATCCCTCATCATTTCCCTGACAGTGTCTGTTTCTCTCAATTTTAGTAGGTGGACTACTGAAGACCCCGTCCTCTTCAGAATTTCCATTAACACTTTCCTTGACCAGCTCTCCCTGGTGATGAGAAACATTCAGCGCCTGGAGTTTGTGGCTGTTGTCAAACGAGGACGAGGAAGAAGACGTGAATCCTAACATGTTACCAGATAAAAGAAACGTCGTGGGGGTTTCATGTTTTGAGTAATTGTTATTTTGCCCTTAAAAGTTCAGTGTTTCAATACTGTGTGACACGTATTAGTCGCACGGTTGGATTATTTCCCGGTTGCTGAAGGAAAAAGCAATTTAAATGTTACTGGGCAAAATAGAATTTAGCAAATATTTTTCATCTGACTTTACTTTTTGACTATGGCAGAAACTGCCAGGTTTTCTCATCTGTGTGCTTCTGTGGAGGAGAAGTTCTGGAATTTAAACGTTTGAGTAGTACAAAGAAATTTAAGGACAGTTAGGAGATGGAAAGAAAAATGAATTATGTAAGTTCAGTTATGCAACAGAATCATTGGCAATGTTTTCAAGCCAGGTGTTTGTACATGTACATGTTCTTGTGTATGCATCCATGTGCTTATACACACAGTCACACCCACACACACTCCCACACACATCTATTTTCTGCATGTGGAAACCAAATGACATCCAGTGTTTTTTTTATAGGGTCTGTACAAAATGGTTTCTTTCTTTCTTTTTTTTTCCATTAGAGTCTCTCACTGATTAATTTTCCAATTTGTCTAGACTAATTGGGTATCAGGTTATAGGGATCTTCCTCAATACTTACTTGACATTTGCCACCAATTAGGATGAATGATGGTAGGGGAAGAACTTCAAGACCAAATATGTAGGGAAACCCCATACTGAAACCCATTTCTTTGTAACTAAGTAAAAACAAAGCAAAACAAAACAAAAAAACATCCAACCAACCACCAAACAAAAATGTAATTGGGTCTGGAGAGATACCTCAGCACTGAAGATCACTTACTGTGCATCCAGAGGATCAGAGTTCATTTCCCAGCAGATACTCTGGGGGTGAGTCTCATGAATATATATCTGGCTCCAGGGAGTCTGATACCTCTGGCTTCTAGGGTCATGTGTACTCATGAGCACATGCCCCACTCCCCCAAACTTTCAGTGAAAATAAACCTTTTGTAATAAAACAAGGAAAAGATATGTGTTTACTGTGGAATCCACGAGAAGCAAAGAAGTTTACCAGGGAAACATACAGAAATGCTTATGAGCCCTCATCCAAGATGGCAGAAGTAGGGACACAGGGAGGGGGGCAGGCACGACATGCTCATCAAATGTAATGTAAAGAAGTTTTTTTTTAAGGAGTCAGGGTCTGTCTTAG